ATTAATGGGCTTCCGAAGGATTTTCTTTCGCTTGGAGTGGAACGGAAAATAGTCGACGATGATGAGTGAATTAACCTATCATTTTCCCCTTTATTACCTCCTTTATGATCCCGCCTGTGAGACAGTGAAACACAAGGCTGTTGATTAATTTTTTTTTCATGGAAATAGTTTCAGATGTGATATTAAAACAAAAAATCAGACTGTCTACTTTATAATTATTCTTTTGAGGTACAGAAAATAAAGTCTTTAATTAGGAAATTATTACCAACTTTCAACAACGCAGCCTTTATATAACTACATGTAAAAGATGCACGGTCTTCACCATCGCCTTAAAGATTTCTGTTCATTAAACTTCTACGCTGTTATCTTGCGAATACTTCATTGGAAATATAATCCAGACCTGTAAATATTAACTTGAGTTAAGATAGGCAATTCCTTGAACTGAATATAATAAGGAACTAAGTTTTCAAGAGAAGTTTATTTTTAACAAAAGAAAATGACCAGTTCAGTGCAGACATAGGAAATGAAAAATCGACTGAAGAAGATGATTGCTTCCTCTTTGATATAACTTGTCCTAGGCCTGTAAACACCAAAAGCTTTCAAAGCTTTCAACACTCCATTCAAGGTTTCTAGAAACTATTCTTCTTCACTTATTTGGTATTCAGGTATTGATTCCGCTGAGGAGGCTGTTTTGTCGGCGGTTTGGATTCACCTAGATACAGAACCTTGTTTGAATTAACGACGAACATGTGTAGTATAGCTTATCTGTTGTTCCTGTTCACCTGCTCTCAAAACGTCTTCCTGAAGACTGAAGAAATGTAAAATGGTTTCCGTGTTTACATCAGGCTATGTAAACACGGAAACCATTTTACATGTCTTTTATAAAATAACTAATGAAAGAGGAACGAAAACCGTGTTTACATACGCTCATGTAAAATGGTTTTAACTTAACTCAATTCGTTGAAGGATAGAAACACTTTCGTTATCAGTGAGGTAAGTTCAAAATATTCTTAAGATTAGTTCGCAAATTCTGCCTTCGATGTGATGAGGAAAACTAAATCAATATGGATGGAAATATGTCATTGATAATCATAACGATCGTAACGCTACGAAAAAGACCGCTTTCTCTAGTTTGTTGCTTATGATATTGACAAAGGAAGAAATTTATCGGAAGTGAGAATAGACAATGATTAAACTTCATGGGTGTCGAAAACAAAACATAAGAGATATTTTTCCTTTTAAAAATGTTATTAATATTTCAACCCATCTACAGTTAATTTGTCTTTGAAATTTTCAAGGCGATAACAACAACAACCGTATTTGTAAAAGCGGCACCGAGAAGAGGAGCAGGTCTTTCTACTCAGTCTTTCTACTGTATTTCCAGAAGATCTTTAAATTTTTGTCGCCGTCTGTTTTTGGAGGCTTTAAATTTCGTTCAAGCAATTGAGATCACTAGTGGCAAAGCTTTCCGCTTATTCAGTGAATATCGAAAAATTTTATAGTATTAAATGCGCCTTTATCGAAATAAAAAGCAGGAACGGGCTAAATGATTAAATTTCCGAATATGAATCTCGCATAAAGAAACATGAGGATCAGTTTAAGTTAATGAACGAAACTAAGTTTTTCAAAACACGTTAAAGAAGCGTAAAAAGCAATATTTGACATATTTCTTTATTGAGAATATTGAATTTGTATTTCATTTTATCTCTAATTGAACTGTTTTCTGTTATTTTTATGGCAGCTAACAGAGCTCGGAGAAAATGGAGCCTTTCTCCTCAGCTTCAGAGTGCATTCCATGGCTTGTGGTCCTCATCATCGAATGTCTGGCCATTGTCATCCTTAATATCATCGCCATTGTTGTTTTTGTGAAGGAGAAGCGTCAGCTTCAGTGGCGGAGTACATATTTGATCATCCATCTGGCGATAGTCGATGTCTTGGTGGGCGCAGTCTCTGGGCCGCTGCAGATTGAAATAAAAATGGAGTGGCTCTGTCCTCTATGGAATTACAGACGAAATACTCTTTGGTCTCATCGTTTATCTTTTTTATTTCTACATTTATTCTATTTCACTTCCCTTACAAATCTCATTGCCATTTCCTTAGAACGGCTACACGCAACATTTTGTCCATTCAGGCATCGCTTTGTAAGGAAATGGGTTTATAGAGCCATGATTATTGTCATTTGGTTAATAGCTATTGTTAGAGAAGTCGCCCAAATTTTCTTATGGGAAATAGGTTATTTCGAGCTAATTAATGCTTACTTGTATCTCCCATTTTATGCAGTTTCTCTATTCGTTATCTGTGTATCTTACATCCTCATTGTTATCAAAGTGCGATGTAGTCGTCATCCCCAATTCCATTCTAGGTCCAAAAGAGAAAGAAAACTGACGGGTGCTGCGCTTATCGTCTCACTAGTATCTTTACTTTGTCTTCTACCAGGGACAATGTATGTAGCATGTATTCACCTTTCCTCTTCTTGTTTTATGATGTATTTTCATATTAAGATGGTTGTGGTAGTTCTATTCTTAGCTAACTCACTTGTAAATCCTATTATTTACGCTCTTCGGATGCCAGGATTCAGAGAAGGTTTATTACAGCTAGTTTACAGGGTCCCAGACTTTCCTCGTATCGCCCTAGCAAACCTGCCACTTCGCAACCTTTGGAGAGCGTAGATGGATGGTAGGAAAACTATATATGAAATTTTTCTTTTAAATAACTTTAACTTCTTAGCCGAGCAACATGCATTTCCATTTCATTTTTTGGTGATAAGAGAGTTGACTAAGGATAGAAACGGTACAAACATCTAAATGATTAAAATGAAAAGCGATGCACCTAGAAAACTAAACAAAGATATAAGTACAACGATTAGTGAGCTTCCGGTCAGTTAGGTTTTTCTTTGAGTGGAACGAAAAAATCATCGAGGAGTCTTCAAATATAAAAAAATTGAAATCACTATGAAGAGAGAATACTTTATTTTCCCATTGGAGTTACTCTTAAATTAAGTAAAGATGCACCGATAGATCTAAAGAAATAAATGTCACCGTGTTATTCTATTTTCAAAAGTTTTGTCGGCTGCGTCACTTTTCCTCTTTAATATTACATATTCTCAGGTATTAACCGACAGCTTTTAAAAATTCAACTTTAGGATCTAGGAAATGGCTCATCTCCGATAGTATTTTGCAGTTTAATTACGATAAAGTAGAGGACTTCGTCCAAATTAACTCAATACAGCAAGTGTATGCTTCCATCCAAAATTTCGGTTCAGCTGCACTCAACTTAACATGCTCTAATTACGATCCCGCCTGTGGGATAGTGAAACGCAAGTCTGTCAATAAATGTCTTACTCATGAAAGTATTTTTAATTTTAGATGTGAGATTACAACTCTATTAGTTTTAAAACAGTAAGACTGTCTAATTTATGATTATACTTTTGAAGTCTTGTCCGGTATGTTTGCGTTACTTATGACCTACCTTGTAAGAAATTTAAGTCATTAATTAAGAAATTATTACCAACTTTCAGCAACGCAATTTTTATGTAACTCCATATTATAGGATGCACGGTCTTTATCACCGCTTTAAAGATTTCTGTTCGTAAAACTTCTACCCATGTATCTTGCGAATACTTAATTGGAAATAACATCCACAGCTGTAATTAATAACCTGAGTTAAGTTAAGCGATTTCTTGAACTGAATATAATAAAGAATCGAGTTTACAGAAGAAGTTTATTTTCAATAAAAGAAAATGACTAGTTCAGTGCAGATATAAGAAAGTAAAATCGATCAGAGAAGTTTTTTAAAAGAACAGAGATAATTTTTTGGACCATTCATAAGTACGAACACTAAAAAATGCCTCGTATTTGAGTTTTGAAATTTTTTCTCAGCCACTTAAATTGCCTGGTTCTGTGGTATAACGTCTCCTGTAAACACGAAAAGCTTTTTTTAATGAAACATCCACGGGATTTGAGAGCAGACACCACCAAGGCAAACACAACATCGACGGAAAATTATCAGTCAACGGAACGTGCACTTACTATAAATGATTCAGTTCATGTTAGTTGATCATCTCAAGAAGAGAACTAATTTTTCTACTGAAACAAACATGGCTTTTTCATCACGATTTTACATGTTTTACGCTATATTAAA